ATGGTGTACGAGTTTGAAAGGTATTTGGATCAGAGCCTTTCTACTGAAGCCAGACTGCATGTACTTACATTGGGAAGACGAAACAGGCTCACTTGATCCCAAATGAAATCGAAGATAGATGATATCCAGGAACGTGAAGATGATGCTTGTGGTATGACACTGTTTTTGGACAACGACGTGGACATCAGCTCAAAAAATTCTGGAAAATGTGGGCAGTCACATCGTAAAAGCATACCAGGCACTGTGGTAGAATGCAGCCCACTCCAGTAGGATAAATAAAGAATATCTATCATTTACCAGAACGTCCAAAGTGTAACGTAACCCCATGAAATCCAAAGGATTTACTTATAGAGTAAAGAAACAGAAACAGAAGTCCCGCCAAAAGCTCGATTGTAAACTTCACAAGAAACGTGGACAGAGCAGCCGATTATAATGACAGTATGATGTATGTGATAGCAAGTACATTAAACAGTAGATAAATGAAATGAAAATGAGGTAACGAGTATGTACGCGTGGGCACGCTCGCTAGCAAAATCGATTGCTAACGACGGGATTGCTTCTTAACACTTTATGTTCATTTCGAACGTTAACATTCTTAAAGACTAGATCGCACATTATAACGCAAGACAATGCTTATATATTCAATAATCGTGGAGAAATGAGAACGATAAAATGTACGAGTAGAGAAACGAATTGCAAAGCGTACGCCATAAGGGAACTTTCATGAAACAGCGGCCATCTTGAAGATAGAGAAGCATCAAGTACCAGTGAATGCTACACATGAGAATTTCTGCCAAACACTTAATAGTAATACAGATTTAATATATTGTTACGATCCTATGAAAAAAAACTTACGTTGGAGATATAAATCAGGCTCGGTTGGTCCCAAAATGTACTAGCAAACACAAAATATCCAAAGAGCACAACGACGTGCTACGTTCAACACTGTTGTGTGACAACGACGTGGACATCGGATCGATGCGATTGGCGTATGATACTCGACTATGTTCGCGTGAGATCGTGAACCGACCATTTTACGACCGAAGCCGAGTATGCACGAACTTTTCCGATTACCCCCCAGACGTACTTCCGGTAGATACAAAAAGAAACATGTAACTTGTGCCGGCTTTGATGTTTATGCAGAATAATATATCTAAATATGTAGAATTCATCTTCTACAGATTGTTTGCAATGTGAAAACAAATTTCTCCGGTCAAAGAATACTCATAACCTCTTTAGTTAATAAAATATTTTTGAATTACTAAACTATAATTACAAAACTATACGTATTGCTATAGAATTCTTTAGGGTGTCCTGTAACTGGTGGTATAACCAAAAAGGTAGTGATTCTATTTGAAAGAATAAGCCAACATAGAATAAAATTTTGTCATAACACTAGATATTTGAGATACTTGAGTTTAAATTTTGACCAATTATTTAGTCGCCTACGGGATATAGTGGCGTACTCTAATACAGAAAACAATGCTCAAACACATTTCATAGATGAAAATTTCAACTTCAACTTTTATTTTTTTCGTCTTCGTAGCGAAACGTTAAGGATACAAAAGAAATACAGTCCTAGGTTGAATCATTGATCTGTGGAAAGCATTGTGTATATTGGGCCGAACCGATAGGTCGTGCGTAGTAAAAATTTGTCACCATAATGTCAAGATGCAAGCGTTCCACTTCTCTCTACCTACTTCGAGGACACCGACATCTGCTTTAATACAAACGTCCTTTCTTAAAATTCAAACCTAATCATCATGTAGCAAAATTTTATTCCATATTTTCGTCTTATTTTTTCGCATTGTATGTATCACCATGTACAGGACACACTGTATATGTATAATTGACACACTATCACTATAATTAAATTATAAAAGTATGGAAGTATATCACAATATTATCAGACTTACTTTTCACTTCGAATAATTGTATAATACAAATCACAAGGATCTTAATATTTACACAGAATGAATACCAAAAAATGGAATATATTGTATTTTCAATGTACGTAGACATTAAATATACTGATGATAAGTTTAATAGCAGCAAAGGACTAAGATATTTCGGTTGAATCGTGTTATGTTGACGATAGGCATATGATATGTTCGATAACCTCGTTTGTTGACAGCACAATAGGTAATTACTGCATAACCACATAAATCAATGAAAATTAAACGAAAATAGTTACACGCAGAACACTACTTTATGATGTGTACAAGTCTTTGCTTGTAACATGTTGAACAAAAATGATTTCGTTTCGATTATCCACATTATACTTTATTTATCACAGAAACTTACATACCTGTCCCCAAATTAAATTAGTTATTATACGCACAACACTGCATTTTATCAAAGTTATTAAATTCCAAAACATACTTTAACTTCAATTGAAAATAACGTGAATCCTGCTGTTCACGAGGTTGCAAGATAAACATGTAAATTCCAAGTGGCCAGTTGATGACCTCTGTATATTATCCTAGGTGGCACCACACACAAGTACATCAGAAAGGGTAACTACACAGTTATCGCTACAAGTTATAACGAACAAGCGACACAAGCCGGGCAAGACAAACAACAGTACCCGCGAAAATTAAAAAGAATTAAAAACATCTACTTGCCTGTTTTGTCCAATTGAACGTTAGGAATTTAATATTTGTCTGGTTGTAGCACTTCATTGTAACGGAAGGAATCAAGTCTGCTGCTATTGTCCATAATTCTTTGTACGATTGCTACAAAAAATACGAGGTTCAATTAGATTGTGATTGCACAATGTACATACATACGCGTTCACTTCAATCGATACTCATTAAGATACACCAGAAATATTAAAAAAAAAAAAAAAAAAAAATACCAAAACAACTTTGTACCGTGACACTACATTTTACAACCATCGAAGGTACACTGAGCCCTTCATCACTTAGCAAGTTGTATCCCGCGGAGCTCACGTCGATAATTCGACAAAACTGTGAGTACCCTATGCAGAAAGCCAGATGATATGATTGGACCTGCGCCGATGGTGTTGCAAAGGAGGGAAAATTATGATCATAGGATTAATAGGACCAATGAAATCGGAAATGAATATAAACTCGATTCGACGTAGCAATCATCACGCGACATACCTGTTTTCCACGATAGAGGTAGTTACCCCGACCCGTTACCACTGTAGTTAAGATGGATGTGCTTCTGAGGGCAAAACGATAGAACAGACACTGTACGAAACCTGCACCCATCTTATCCGGGTGGTTGCAATTTACCGAGAGGACTCGGTGCAGGTAACGTGCGTTACTGTGTAGCGCTTGCGCTGTTTCGCGACTAACTAACCCCGCATGCGAGCCAAGTTTATTGTTACTTCTTGATCTCGATGTAACAACAAAGGGTATTGTTTATTGAACATTGTACGTATCGTCGGATCGCGTTACTTGATCGAGCATATATGTATATAAAAATAAACTACTTTATGTATGGAAGACGATAAAGCGTGATTCACGGAATTAATTATGTAAGCTTACAAGTTGGAAACCGTCCATTGATTACAGCCGAGCATCTGTCCTTATTTCAGTTGGCGGCAGCCGCAGGAGGCATGTCGCGTAAAATTCGCGTTCGCCGTTTTAGGTCTCACTTCCTGTTCTCCTTAAAAGACAGTGAATGACATTCGACGAGAAAGGGCAATCGCTCTGAGAACAATCTAGAGTCGATGAATATCGCGTCGACATTTTCGATTTACGTGGCATTCAGACCGTGTTTAATGTTGGCCCTAAACCAAGACTCGAATCCTATCTGAAGCCTGATCTAATGGGCAAGCTAAAAATATTATCTGCCATTTATGCTTCGTAAATTTAAAATTGAAGACAAATCAATTGGCGAGTGTGGCAATGATTACCTGATTGTAGACGTGTGAAAATACTATATTGCACGTGTCGCGGAAATTTTTCGATATAAAACGACGAACAATAATAAATAATCAAAATTTTCCAAATATTTCAATTACATTAACAATTACCAGTTCAAAGAATTAGGTGCAAAGTAACATTATGCGTATGCTCCTTGATTTTTTGAAAATTATTGTATTCAGACGAAATACACATGGTTCTGATAAAATAAATGTCAAGATTGTATAAAAAACGAAGGTTAAGGAATTCATTAATAAATAGTATAGAAACTATTCTGTCCTTTTAATTAACCTTTCCTATAAATACTAAGGCCCATGCATTTCCTAAATAACTTGACCGAGGCTATAAAAGGCACTTGCGTGGAGTTCTCAAATATTAAAGAGGAACTCGTCGAATAATACTGGGAAACTTGAAAAGACTTAACTTAACTAAGAAAAAACTTAATTTTTAACTGTTATATGATATATTAAATGCAAACAGCTGAAGAGTATTAAGTTATTAAGTCAATAATCATAAAAAATCAGTCCACCGTAAACACACCAAGTGTTAAGATACCTACTATATTATTTTCTAAAGTAATGGGATTTTTCCTTTTTCTAACAAGAAGTGGCATATCAATTTTTCATCTTTTGTGTAAACCAATGTAGATGCCTGAATCAACAGCAAAACTTCCAACGTTCTCCAATCGCATATATGTACCAACAGATAAGGAAGTTATCAAGATGGCCTACTTTAAGCGTTTCATCCCTCGCAATATATTTCGCCAACTTTTTCCCTTCTGCGAGTAATGAACATAGTACAGGTCTCTGGTATATCATTAGAATCGGTGAAGTTTCAAAAATGACAAAATCCGTGTAAATCGGGTACGGGCGTTAATGGGGTGCGCCTTTTGATAGCGTTTCCGGGGGGTGGAGGTAGATTGGGGACAGGTTCGCGAGTATACCTCGTATATGTATATTCGTGGGGCGATTTCTCTCTGGCAATGAAAAGGATCGATGCGGTTTCCGTGGTAACGGCACCGTCAGAGAGGCCGGAATCGCGGGATGGTGGTGGACGGAGGAGCATCGAGTGCGAAACGCGAAACTGATGCAGTAACGACGTCGCCGTCGTCGTTGCCGTCACCCGAGAGCTCTGGGTCCGTTGGTTTCGGTGGTGTCGCTCTGTCCCGCGTGTGTGGAACGTGCTTCCCTTTACACGGAATCATTTAGAGACTGCACGACGTCGTTTCGGGACGGCGAGCATCATGTGGAGGCGTCAGATCCTCCTCCACTCCAGGACACCAGTAACGTGGACTCGTTCAATCGCCAGGACATCAAGAACGGGAGAATGCACGAACGGCCGTCACAGTATGAGAAACCGAAGATTCTTCTGCTGCGACGATGGAGCGAAATGCCACGGCACCTTCAGTTCAATCCTCACATCCGTACCGGATACAGACCGCTCATGACCGTCCGACAGTGTCTTGCTAGCCTCTTTTACATCCACAACGAGACCGTCAATATCATGACGCATGGTAAGTCGGGAGAACATGGTCCGATAGAAATCGGTTGGTCCTTCAATGTCACAGACGAGATTCTTCCCACTCTACTGTTCACTTCTCGGTCATGCAAGTTTGAATGGTACTCAAGTGGGGGATGTGTCTAACGGAGTTTCCAGTGAGGAACTTGGCCTTGCGCTACTCCCTTGATCTTGATTCGACTGTAGTAGGTCAGTACTTTCCAGGATTGTATATTTTGATAAGATGGATCGATTGATGGTAGATTCATCCACGTCTTCATTAAATCAATATTCCTTGGTAGATCTGGAAGGTTGTTTAGACTGTTTGCAATAAATAAGTTTTTTTTTTAGATATGGCAAGTATTGTTAATTAAGGTTGTATCTATTTTGACAAATTAGTGTTTAATTGACAACTAATGAAACTGCTGTTACTTATCAGGCATGTATTTCAAATTAAAAATCTATTGTACCTATCCATTAATAATTAGAGTATATGTATATATTTTGAACTTCTAACTAAATTGTTCGTTGCTCCTCACATCACATTTTAAAATATGTCTGTAAAAAAGTAAAAAAAACATCAATGGACATTTTTTAATACTCTATTCTTAGCGAAAGAAGTGACATATTTAATATAATAATTATATGAATGAATTCAATACAGCTGAAGACTTACGCCGTGCGAAAAAAAGGTCAGGTCAGAAAATTTATTCGTATCTATAATGTCTATTGGTCTACCTTCTAATCTCCTTGCAGTCTTCCCTGAAGGTATTGAGAGACGCAGCAGAGACGTGTTCGCTCTGATTCAATTAAGTAGAAAAATGGATTACCCTTGGGTTACGCGACTTCAAGGTGAACTTATGCAAAAAATCATCATATTCCTATCAGCGCATTGCGGGATGGTAAAAAATCAATGACCGAAGTCGTACCTTATCCTTTATGGATCTATTCGTAACATCGATCTACGACAATGATAACAATACTCTCATGTTAATAGTGTCTATGAATTCCTTTCGATGCAAAAACTGATAAATAATTTATGAAAATTACTCAAATATTAAACTATGCCACTGATACCAGGCAAGAGTGAGGTATATTAATATCTGAATGGGTAACATTAAAGAGGTAAACTTAACGTCAGAAAATTGTGTCATACTTCTGTCCAATGAATTATTTACTTACAACGACGTTCCTCGTTTATGCATGCGGCGTTCTGTCTGACGTGACAAAATTCTATGATAATACAGGAGGAAGGGCAAACATCGTCTAGCGACTCGTCTATCGTCTATCGTCAACAGTACATTTTTTAATATCGACACCCTGTATAAACAATAATCTAAATTTTGTTACAGGATTCGCTATCTTGTATATGTTACTGACGATACCGCAACTTCTTCCATGGAATACCAAAGGTACTCTCACGGAAATTTTATCATGGTGTCACATGATCGGCGCCGTTAGTCCATGGGTTGGTTCCTTTATTTATCACCTGTTCATGAACTTAAATTACGATGAAGTCTTCTACCAGAAGCTGCTGAAACTAGACATGATTGGCATATGGCTGTGCCAAAGTTTTGGTAATTTATAACAATTAAATAACGTAAAAGTAATATAATTAGTAAACATTCTCAATACAATTATAAAACTTTCGCGTGATATTCCAGGAGCTATTCCTATGGTGACAGCAACAGTTCACTGCTTACCCGACAGCTACTGGTATTGCTGTATTTTTATCTATTGTTCTCTTTGTGTGTGGGGATTCCTTAAAGTAAGTAGCTCTGAACTTCATTTATCAGACTTGTTTATCTATATTGTTCAATTCTATCATTATTATTTTACAGGCAATGCATGCGCTTTCTCCGTGGGAGAGAAGATTATGCTTTGCGCCTCCTTTCCTCATGAGAATGCTAATAACGATTTTACGATGTTTTGGGATTGGCGGGGGTTCCCCGGACGCTTTACTTCATATTATACTACAGGTAAATCCTGAAAAAATTCCGTGACATTGTAATAGACTGTGATAATTATGAAATGAACACTGAAATGGTGAATAATTATGGAAAATGAAATGAAGTGTGATAAAAATGAAATGATACCGTGATGTCTGGGTTTTTCTAAGAAACAATTAGTTTCTAGGACCTGATATCTGTCGTGGGAGCGACCATCGGAGCTATGCGTATACCTGAAAAGTGGATTCCTGGCAAGTTGGACCTAGCGTTAAATTCTCACAATTTAATGCACGTGTTAGTTGTTATGGCGGTGTGCTCGATGCATGCCGCCACTCTGCAGGATCTGGCTTGGATATCCGAGCCGTCTACGTGCAATGGAATGAGCTTCGTTCCGTCGAAGCATGATGATCTGTGATTGAATGGTGAAAATAAGATTCACTGCAGTCTGTGATAAAAATGAGCCTACGACAACCAGCGAATAATCGTGTAAGTGTCCCGCGATCGGTGACCAGAAGTATATACATATACTCTGCTTCGGCAGATCAGAGGTCTTTTTAAGTACAATTGTACAATAAATGAAAGATGCGTACGATACACGTACAAAGATTTCATACCATGATAAGAACGCATGAGCGTCTTTTACAATGCGTGGATCAGTCTAAATACAACCATTAGTACAAAATTGAATAAGTCATATCGATGATGGTATGAATTAAATCAGGCGATTTAATTCAGCCGTTATTCAAGAAATCTAACGTGAAAGACAAACAATTAGGATAATAGAAAGCAATGAGAGAAAAGCGATGTGTCTTTGAGTAAAATAGATAAGAATGAATAAGCACATCAAAAATACGTTTATTACTGTAATTATAGTAGACATTGATAGCAATGTACAGGATGTGTTCCTGGGCACTCCGTTCTTTTAATTCAGTAAATCGCTTCGTAATGTGAATATTACATTTAGACGAATAAAACTGTCCTAAAATATCGATTGGAATTTATTTGATTCCATTACCGTTTCAGTATTCATTCGTAACACCGTTAGTGACATAAAGGTGAGAGGATTTACGTTCGGGAATTTTTGTTATAAATTAAATAGTATATATTCGATTAATATATTATAATTTTGTTTCTTCCATATACTTTGACTGAATATATGTGTTTCTAAGTAAGACTCTATGTAAAATGAATTTAAAAAAAACAGAGCTGCAAGAAGTACAATATAATTTGTATTTTGTCTTAGTAAAAATAATCGATAAAGAATATATGCCGTACATTGATATACCTTTGTGTTCCTATATTCTTGCGGTTCTGATTTTTCATATAAATTTGCTTGCTCAATAGCTTATAGTTTGTCCGAAATTAAGTATTACCGATGAACCTACAGTATCAAAGTCAGCAACCTTCAATACGACTTGTGTAAAAAATCTAGTAGATTGCGAATACGAATAAAATATACGAATAACATTTCTGCAATATAAGCACCTATTTTGAAAGCACGCAAGGCACGTACAAAGTGCATAATAGAATGATATATTAAATTGATGAATTACTTATAATTATCGCCTCTGTAAGAAACGAGAGACGCCTGTAATGTAAGAATAATTGTACAGCAGGTTAATAAAAAATATTTTAAAAATATTAGGATCCAGAATGAAAAATAAACACTTTGTTATTTTAATTTGGAATACATCATTGTAACCCAGATAGTTCTACTGTACGCGTTTACAATGTACAGCGAAAGTAATTTATACAAGTACCTCTGGTTCTAAGAAATCAGTATTTTCTCGCATCTTTACTCCGTTATTGTATTCTTTGCGTAATTGAGATAACGAATAAGCTTTGCATTCGACTATAATTATTGCAAAGGAGCTTCACTTTCTTGAGTATAACTTTTGACCCTGCTGAATTTGAAAGGAGGATATTGTCCGCCAATGGCGGATAACCTCCATTCTTGCATAGACGGTTCCTTCAAGCATGTTTTTACTTCATGTCCGCATCTACATCTTGTAAATATATTATAACTCAACCATTTTAATAACGAATTCGTTCGTTTATAATGATCTTGAATTTCAAATTCCTATAACGAAATCGTAAAGATTTCTTTAAAGTATCTACTTTATTTTAATACAATATTATAAAGACAGGTACTTACAATGTGAAACGTTTGCTCCCTACTATTATGTATAGGCTCTCTCCTCTTCCTCCTATAAGCAGTAGTAGTTCCTTTTGCTTCTTGTTTCTTGAGTATCAGAGTCACGCAATTATCATGTAATCGGTAATGGCCGACGAGAACCGACGGATTTTGGGGTACACGACTTCTCAAAGAGTTTACACAACTTTGGGCTTCATCAGTAGAAGTTAACATTAACACTTTACCTTCGGGGAAAAATCTATTTATTGAGAAAATGTGATATGAGATTCTGAAGTTTATAATCACAAGTATATTAAATTAATTACTACATACCTCAGGTACCGGAAGTACTCCACCAAATGCCAAGGTCTGTAAAACCGATCTTGGAAACTATTTTCACCATCATGAATATAACTGGTCTTATTAATATAACATCCATTATACCTTAGCCTAGGCCTTTGTAAATACATTTCTCTCCAGGACTGGTATTTTGGAGCATAAGTTCCGCAATTCACGCCCCATACTCTATGTAATTTATTAATAGTATAATTGTTTGATTATGTTAAATGACATAATAAGAAACGTTAATAATTTACTTAATACAGGCAAGTCTCCAAATTTCAGTATCCCTTGCAGATATGTAAAATCCACGACATACTCTGGAGAACATTTCAAGAGACCTCATGTCAAGCTCTGAAGATACAACCCACCTCAAAATATAAAGCATTATTTCCATAGGCAAAGCAGAAATATGCGTTGTCTAAAATAAGGAAGAAATATCAATAATTTAACTAATCAAAGGTTCTGTAATGCAATTTCAGAAAATTATTCGTAAGTTAAAAGTAATAAGTACTAACATTTTGTTCAAACTTAGGAAAACAAACACATTTATTGCGGTTTATAGCTTTGCACAGTTTGATGAATAAGTCGCATTCTTCTTCATCTTCATCATTATGATTTTCATCATTAGTATCAACACTGTTCGCATCATTATCTAAATTTTCGAGGCTGTCATCCATAGGTTTCACTTTTGTTGACTCATATAAACGAAATTCAATATCAGGAACTAATTGCACAGCACGTTTGTAAAACTGAATGGCTTCATAAAATTTTCTATTTTGTTCATATTCAATTCCTTTCAAAAACAAACTTTTTGCCTAAAACATAGTATTCCAAATGTTTGCTTATACATAAGATTTACTTTATGAACAAACATTAATAATTATCATACCTTGTCTTCAATGCTCTCCTCATCATAATCATCATTAATTTCAACCGTTTTCGAGGAAGGTGCTTTGGATATCTTCCGTTTCGGGGATAGATCTAGTTCGCGTTGCCATTCTTCTTTGAAAGATGTTAAAGCATCCTCGACATTCGTTTCCGAAAAAGAAGATCCTTCCTGATCGTCTCCCCTGTCATCCGACTCACCAGATACACCGGAGTGACTCTGTTATTACGGTGGAAAAAAAATATGAAAATTATTTAAGCGTTGAAATGTACTATACTTGAAAAAATGAAAAATTAAAATAGATACTTCCAATTGTTAGTATATCCTACGATAAGAAACGATCGAAAAGATGACGTTGTCATCTTTAACCGAGGTTATGTTGATTTAACAAACTTTTTATCCATCAACAAAAGAACGACAGTAATTGTTTTTGACACCTTACGTACCATTTTTGTTCCAGTTTCAAATCTCCTGCTGTAATTTCTTCAGCGCTTGTACTCGCGGTCGAAAAAACGCACGATACAACGAAAGTACACCTTTGCCAACAGAGCCGCCGCCATGGTTCTCGCCTTTCTGGTTCTGCGTTTCAATTAAAGGTCGTACCCGTCATACCTAATGCAGTTATAGATTGCTGTACTATATTTTCAACTGATGTAACTATTCCAAATTCTTACTGCCCCGAAAACAACGATTGAAAAGCAAATTCGAGATAATTATAATGAATTATAGTACGTAACGCGTACGATTGTTTACTTATATTTATGTTACATCAGCATACAGATATAAGTCTAAGGAACATTTTCTTCACAAGGATTGATCTTATGTACTAATCAATTTGTTATTTCAAATATTAATTCGTAATAAAAGATTAGAACATACATTTATGTATGTTTAATAAATATTTATTTCTTAAGTCAATATAGTATTTAAAACATTATTGGATTATGTATGGGTGAACGATTGAGAAAAAAATGGTGCAGAGTAAAGTTCGAAATGGAGGAAATGAAAAAAAAAGAAAATAAAAATTTTTAAATTCTTGTTTTCATTTTGTCATGCAACATTAGATTAGAACAAAAATGATTTCGAATTAAAACAACGTAGTCCGCAGATCACTGTTTTTCCGCCGCACCGGAAGTGCAAACGACAACTTTCTCAAAATGGACTATGAAAACTAAGAGTTCCTCGGAGCTACAAGTTCGTATTTGGAAAATAACGTAAGAAGCGAACTCTCCGTCTCGTTTTCTTTATGGACATACACGTGTATCAACATCGTGGACCCCACCTCTTTCACAAAACTATCACTACCACGATGATCATCTTCCTGAGTAAAAGCCGCGTGCTAACCGAGTGTGGGCACAGACAGCATCATGAGCTTGGTGAGTACGAAACTACTCATTCACTGTACTTCTCCTACGATAAGTTTCTCTAATTTCACTATCGTCTCCCGGTTTCTCTCGTGCTATCTTCGTGCACGTTTTCCAACGACGTGAGACATTATTACCACGTGTTTGTGACAGTGAACCGAACCCGCGCATTAACGCCCAGTGAAAAGTGTCAATTGTTGATTCTCCAAATAACAAGTGAGAAAAGATCGAAATTTTTTTACTCGACTGTGTACAGATTTAACATCATACATTAAGAGAGTTGATAGTCTCATTTCTACCGACACAGGTTTGATATCCCACTGAATTTATTAAAAATCATCCAGAATAGGTAGAAGTGAGTTATTGTTTAAATAGACATAGTCTTCAGTCTGATTAAATAGAAGTTCTTCTGTATCAAGAGATGCATATAAATTATGTCGACGCGGTGGTAATCGAAAGTTAGTTGCACCGTGCGACTCAATGCTGGAAAAATTCAGATTTCTACCAAGAAGAAGTTCCCGATGAGCATTCTGTGCCGGCGACTTTCTTCTCCCGTATTTGTGTGTTCCACGATTCAGATAGTTCCTAGTGTGTATACACGTTGCACTTGCTGTCCCGTTTAAAATGAATAAATCGTTTAAATCTTCATAGAGAAATACACACACTGCACGCCGAAACATTGGAATTCCTCAACGATTTTTATTAAGGTCATACATATCGTGTAACAAATATTCTCTTTTCCAACGGCGATTATTGTAAACATTAATTTCTTTTAAACAAATACAACTGTCTATTATTATCTGAAATTGTCAATTGAAGAAGAAAATCGTTATTTCCCATAATTCATTAAACACAGTCACATTTTCTTTAACGTCAGCGCAATCTCCTCAGACAATGTGAAAAATATGTCAATCTATAATTTCTGAATAAGAATTCCAAGTGTCTAAGTACAAAATTAATTCATGAACATTTCTTTGAAAGTGTTCCTCGATTCCTTATTGCTCTTATTTTCACTACTGGACGACGGTCATTCTTTTGTCATTAAAAACTTTCTATCATTTTATTCTTTTAACTACTTACGAACACACGTTTTCAAGCGAACAATCAATTATTCTCACTAAAAGTTTACGTTCGTATCTTTCATTAATTTTCCAAAAAAAGAAATCGTTAGCGTATCAGCTTCGTATGTAAAGGTCTCGAATTCCTTGGACGCAGCACGCGTTCGTGGTTTGAACAACCCATTTGTTATGTGGCACGAGAGCGCGTAGAGTAATTAGTTGATGGTTCTTAATTGAAATTCAAATTCCATTTCACGAGCGAGTTACCAATCGTCCCGTTGGAACGTGACTGTCCCGAAACATGAAACGATCTCTATTGGCCGTGAAACATCCGCGAATGTATCGTGGTTGCGACGACAGCTTTCGCGGAGTTAATGGACCGCAGCAGGAGATATAGATACGATTAATTTATAACGCATATACGCATCGAAACTTAATACCCCGCGGTCGTGGTTGCGGTTTTTCCTCTGTCACTTACAATCTTGGTCGAGCTCGTCGTTTTATGGAAGTTTGCAGAAAAGTGTTTCGTCAACCGTGGTTCTCTCTCTCGTGTGAGGATAACGAAATCGATTTTTACAACAAGAGTATGGTACACATTGGTACATATGGTTTATAAAATGTATCCATTCACGTCCAATCGTACGTTTTAGTTCTCACTAGAAACGTAATACATGATTCGTCTCGGTAGGCAATTTTCCAGTCCGTTCCGCTTTAATAGAGATTCCATGACGAGGTGTGTTTCGTCGTAGCTCTGTCCCCCTTGTAAACCACAGACCGAGAGAAAGTAATTACCAAACAATTTATGACGAGGCTCGAATTGGGTGTGGATACGCTATGTGTCGCCTTCGGTGATAGGTTCGCTGAACCTTAAGCAGGTGGCATCTTTTTTTCGGTACCCGGAGAAGAAAGTTCTTTCCGCGTGCGCGCAACGGTGACGTATGAGCCAATCTGAAAGGACGATCAGCCGCCGCCGATTAATTCTAATACATATTAAGCGTCCATTGCGAAATAATCAAGGATACACTTAAGATAAATAAAATATACGACTGTTAATTATCACGTACAACTGAAACGCAAATTAAACATCAAATCTTTTAATTAAGATAAAATATCGAAGTATTGAAACGTTATTGAAAACAATCCTGTATCGGATACATCATGATTTACAAGCTGATATTGACCTATACACGTAGCTCGACCGCTCTTTCTCACGAACGATTTTCTTCGTACACTTTCCATCGATCTGTCGATGGACCGTATCGATCACGAAGACCTCTTTAAGTTATATAGGTATATATGTATATATATCTTATCCAATAAATTGTTTCGAATGAGGACGTTCCCCCGACGTTGTTACAAAGCTGTCATCCACGACTTTCACTCGTCGCCCGCGATACGATGCGTAGCACCGTACGTTGCAATTTAATTGCACTTGCCTCGATCTGCTCATCTTTTCCATCGGGCTACTATCAAAACCGCTGCATTATTCAACGCCAAGGACTCCGGTGTTGTATAATCACCGCGTACTTGGCGACACAACAGTCAAAACAAGCTTTCACGCGGACGCAATTTCCGCGTTTCTGCCTGGACCTGTCTGAAATACAAAGTGTATATTCCAGGGGTACGGAATAATCGTCAAAAATCACGAATATGCAACCGTGTGTCCCTTCAATTGCACCAGCTTCGCACGAAAAAAAAAAGACAATAAATTCGGTGATTTTATTTTTAAGGTAATTCCACTTTCAACAGATCTCGTGAGAGCTGTCACGTTTTACTACGAACATTCTGACGTGTATCGTGGGTTGTACTGGTAGCTAATTGGCCTGCTCCAGATCATCTCGGTCTCATGCATACGTTTTAATTGCGACTGTTGGTTGCATCGCGATATGTTGTCACTCGTTGTGTCGTGATGATTTCGCTGTTCCGAATTAATTCGGAGAAAAATACGGTCGATCAGGTTGGGAACAACAACGACGAGGAGTGTGCGGCATTCGAACCGATTCAGGGTTTACACACCGTGACAAATCTAATATCGAGCTTAAACGCGGCGAACGATGAGGACACACGGCAAGTTCATGAGCGTGCGCATCATCGGCACACTACCGAGTGAAAGTGCCGCCTTATTGCCAGCGGCGTCTTTTCTTCTCCACGTCCTCTGCCTCCTACCGTGCGAAGACGAAGACGGTCTTCTCACGGTATTTTGCGTCCAATCGTACTAACTGTTCATTAGCTGCTCGATTCCGTTGGCAATCTTAATTTCACGGGCCCTGTTGGCCAAATGTTCGCCCGATCCTCGACAACATTGTTCGTTCAATGATACTAATTATCGTATACTTGATAATTGGAAAGACAATCGTGAATAGTGGATTCATAGTCGCGATTGAGGATCGAATGAGAATTCTACGTTACAGTTAGTTGCCCGAGTTCTTATCTGTTCTAACTCCATTTTTCAAAAAAGTTGGAAAATGCAAGAATAAAAAAAAGAAAAGCATGATTAATAAATCTGTAGAAATTATAAAGAACAAGGATGATGACTTTAAGCGTGAGACGTTTATATTTATCGACGGTTCTTTCCTTGTCTTTTATGAGCCACGAATTCATAATTTCAAGCCACTTTGCATAAGTTTCTAAGATAGAAGAAGGTCCTCAACATCCTTTTCGTCGTACAAATTTTCGGACCGACTTTCTCGTATCGTCGGTCGCGGTTGCAAAAGTGAGTGAACATTTTTCTAACGGGTTTCAGAAACCTGTTTCCGGTTATTACCAAACTGAAAAAGGACCATGTGTTATCGTTTCGTCATAACAAAATATAGAATTTATGGGAAACTGTTGTGTTAAAATGCAAATGATTAATAACACGCGTCGATTTCTACTTTTTAATATTGAGCACGTAAACGAATCATTTCTGGACAGATTGTAATTAAATGTTCTGAAAAAAACAATACGTCGAGGCGTTATTATAACAATACGTGGGAGGATCTTCACGGGACATAAAGTATCACGAAATCTATAGAAAATAATTATCGTAAGTGGAGCTTTACTGGTTCGCTCAGATTGCTATTGCGTGATAATTAATCCAACCGGTCAGTGAATCCCTGATTGCTACGTATTTAATTAGCGCAGTTTACACGTTAACGGCGAATTAAGAGTACAAGATCTCGATGCATTGTGACGCAATGGAATAAATCCATTTTTTTTCCAGAGGCTCGTCAAGTCGACAGATAACGGTCTCGCTGTCAAGAATATGAGATTCCGGAAGCGCATTATTTCGTCGTCTTTCGCTCCATTAGAATCATGACGCTTATATAGTTAACCGGTCGGTTCATCCACGTAGATCGTCCGCTTGTACCATTAAGCTAGAGAAAAGCGTATGAAATTTATCTGGAATCGTGATAATAATGTATAGAACGATTTCACTGTGAACATCGTACGATCGTACTTTCATCGTGGAAGAATGAGAACTTAAGATTATTTATAGAGATTATATGTTATTGCTTTATAATAATATAATGTGACATAAATAATATTATTATAATTCCAAACTAGTGTTATGAAATTTTTAGGGTCAGTCAAAATTGATGTAAATTTTAATTATCTGTGACTCGATGGACGCCATATTGAATTTTCACTTTGAAATAATACTTTAAGCTCAACATGTCTATATATGAAAAAAGAAATGGTTTTAGATCGAGATATAATAAAACTTTCTGCTTTTTAACGTGTAATGTATACTTAGAAATTTCGAATCTCTTGTATGTCAGGAAAAATCGTGTGAAATTCTTTGGTATCGTGATGATAAGTATAGAACACTTTCACGGCGAAGTTTACGAGGTACTATCGTGCAACGGTAGAAACTGAAAATTGCTAATGAAATTATCTTCGTTGCTCTTCCATGTATTATAATAATTTTCTTTTTTACTACGTGATAATTTGGCAACGTTCACTCGTCCCTAATACAATGTCCTCGATTTGCATTGGTCTAATGACGACGATCCATTACGCTTTTCGTTTGTCATTGTTGTTTTCTAATCGAAAAGCTGCTAGTTCGACGCGGAGAAATTCTTGGTGGATCCATTCACGCGTTGGAAAATGACAGGTCGGAGGATTGTCTTCTGGAAAATCGGCCCGTAGAAAGCCGATTGTCAATGAAGATGTCAGTCACGTATACGGTCATGAAATAGCGCCATCAAACAGTCTCTTTCTCACTGAACCTCGTTGTTTAAAAAATTTTCGCCATTTTTTTTCTGTAATTATCCGCAAGCAAATGAAAGCATTCCAAAGTTAAGTGTTCGTTGGTAGAACATTATTTACACGCAGAATTATCGGAACAATTTGTCTAAATTGAAAGAAAATTAAAATTAAATGAGAAATTAATGAAAATAATCTTTAATTACTGCTTCAGCTAGACATTCACAATTGTGTTGCATTTCTTTTATGGCCGTGTTGTTCGTGGCGATTTCTTTTTTAAACTATACACGGCATCGTGTGTAATTTATCACTTACATATCTACCGAATATGGACACGTGTCAAACGATCAGTCAACGAGCCCAATTTCCGAAAGTGAAACTCACGCCGAATCTGCAGACTGGCCGAATCGTCTTGGAACACACGCGTCTTCTTCTTCTTTCGGCGTCCTATGAAAATATTAATGAGATGCTGGACCAATGAAGACTGAGATGTTCACACGGCGGTTTAGAAAGTTTTCTGAGGACTTCTATCCATTACTTTAGGCGGGTGTCTGTCCCCCCACCCCGTACATTTTTGACCGCGGAAATGTTTCAGCAGTGTAGAACCATAAAAAGGGGATTTGACACTTAATGGATTCTCTTTTATAATCATTACACTCGTAAACTCTTGTTCACGAAATTTCACTAATAGGCTTTAAATTATACAAGGTGATTCATCTAATTCGACGATAGCAAACGTCTCGTAAGCTGCGTTACTGTTTGATATTGGAGAAACGTCTGAAATGAAAGTTGCGTGTTTTAATACTCTTTTTTGTTTATGCGTCGAGCGTCCGAGGTCAGTTTTCGATTTTTAAAATGGAATTTTCTACATATCGTTCTTATGTAAATTGAATGAACGTTACGGGGTAGATAGGACAATTTATATATTTATTACATAATTGAAACATCAGTCACAGTGAAGTTTTATTAATGATTCCAGTTTAAATTCGATGTAATCAAACCCTTAACAGGAAGAATAAATTTTTGTTCTATTATATTATAGTTAATTTAAAGTTCGAAGTCATTACATGTACCTACATGGCGTAATTTATTGGGAGGTTTGAAAATTGTACGATTTGTAATTATAGTGACCTAAATTTACGGAGTTTGAAGTTATAGAATTTAATATTTGTAATTACTATAATTCAGTAAAATTTGTACAATACTACGAATTATTTTTTATAAATTTTTGTTCGATTTCTGCTGTTGTAATTTAGGGCGCGAACATTTAAATTTGCATAAACATCCGCATTGTAGCTGTGAATGAGTAAAAAATGCATATTAAGATACAGAAGAATATATAAATAAAAATCTCATTAAAAATTAACAAGCTCTCAAGTGTGTATCATAAAGTCTCTTAATTTATTGATATGTACTTGCGTGACACCTCCTTTACATCATCTTATCGTGGCGTAGCAACTTATATGGACAGTAGTATATTTGATTTCTTGAAAAATGACAAATTAACTGTCGTATAGATACATAAATTTTAACGGCATCCATGTACGTAAATTAATGAAAGCAGGATTGCATTCCAAATGGTGTCACCAAAATCACTTTTCCCCTTACACCACCATTAACACCGCACCCTGCAGAGGATAAAAACAAAATGTCAGTCGTTTCCAAAGCAAAACAAACTTAAAACATCTGAAATAGCAGTAATTTACAACCCGACCTAACATACACTCCGCGAGACCCCAACGAAAATTGAACCGCCATTCAAGCCGCAACCGTGTAACAAGTTTCCTCGTCCCATTCGACGAGACTAATATTGCCACGCCGATTTTTCATTGTCCCTACTCACGTTTTAACATTTATACACGTCGCTTTGTTAGACGTGTCTCTCTCTGCCGCGGACATTTCTTCGCGCGCAGCTTTCTTTGTAAATGTCAGAGGCATCCCGTGAGCGCTCGCGCGCACGACCTCCTGGATGGCGGGATTTTTCTATCGGCTCGTTTCGACACTTAAGTACTCGTTAAGTACTCATACGGAATCAGCCGGGTGTTTTCTCTCGACGCGTTGCGTCGACGCTCGAGCGACGCCTCGTCGAACAGAAGCGCTTTATTCCTGGAATTCCATCAAGAAGGAAGGGGGAAAACGAAAATCGCTTTTCCTCCACGGCCGTAGAGACTTTAACGACCAGTGTGAAAGTTCCCCGCCGCTGAGGTAATGCCTGTTTAACGGAAGGGAACTCACGACCTCTGGAGGTGCGGTCGCCGCCGCGAATGATCTGTTTCTCAGCTCCAACGATATTTTCTCCTGGCTCCTCGGCTCTGGGTATACTCCTACTTGCGAACAATAATTGCAGTTACATACACCTGTAACACGGCCCTGTGTTGTCACCTCTTTCTTTTTCCTTTTTCATCGCTGCGGGAAGGAATTGAACTGGATAATTTGATGTTGGCTACCATCGGTTGCGTACGGCAATTACGAAACCTGTAATGAATATTGGAAACTATAATTAACATAATTTATGCGGAGTTTCCAGTTATCGCGTATGCGGTTACAATTATTGTGGTTAATTTAAAGTTCGAAGTCTTCGAAATTTTCATTAGAATTGAACTTTAGAAACAATACTGTATTATTCATTAGAACACCTATTGGACTGAATTATTAATAATAACATTATTATTTAGTTCCCAATATTAAAATCAAATCCAGTTATTAACAAACTAAAATATAGTTATTGAAATCCAAGAAACTCTGCATTTTTTAATATTTCTCCAGTAATTCTAAACAATCGACAATATTTTCTTTTGGCAATAATAAACTAAATGTTATAAATTATAAAACTTTTGACATTGAGACACTTACAGTCAATTTAATCGGAATAATCTCTTACAGGTAACATTAGTGCTCCTATTGGCGACCGCATCGATAACCCTGTCAAGATCTCAAGAAACCGAGATCTCTGCAAAGGGTTTGGACGTGACACAAGCGCCCCTGAAATTAGACAAGAATCTCCGTAAGGCTCTCCTGAAGGCCTTAAGCGACTTAGAAGCAGAATCCGCGGAGCAGCATAAGAACGAAAGGGAACCTGTTATCGTCCCAAGAGAAGTTGACTTCGAGGGCGTAACGAAGAAGAACCTGAACGATGACCTCGGGGTGCAGAAGTCCATGTTCTCCTTCCAAAGTTTCCCTAGGGACGAGGAGACACCGACCGAGGACAAGCTCCAAAACTCCAGTTTCATCGAAGCTGTCCGTTATGTGACGCTGAAGACGCCAGTGATGAACATCGAAAAGGCGACACAGGAGGAGTCCAGAAGCTTTCACGTGCAGAACGTGATCTTGCCGGAGGAAAGTGTAACGTTTGGTGCCAAAATGGGGTCCAAGGCGGAGGTGGAAGCGAAGAGGAGTCCGCAGGCTTCAGCCAATACTTTCTCCGTACATAAAGTCGAAAGTCTGACGTTGAAGCCGGCCACAGAAATCTCAGAAAGCCTCGCCGGAAGTGCCAGTAACAGCATCGCGTCGGCCAACGCGTTGGTTGCGCAAAAGCCGACCGTGGCCACTCCAACGATTGCATCGAGCAACAATGTCACTGCATCCGGCGAGTCCAAAGACAAAACCGAGGAAGTCAAGATCTTCCAAGCTCCCTTGGTAGCAGCATTCACCGTCCAACAGGACGAGCTAGGCGTGCCTAAGAGCGTAGTGCCGATCTTCAGGTCACCGAACGACGGACAAGCCTTGACACTTCAGGAACAGCTGGATTTCAAGCAGCAACTGTTAGAGAAGCAACTGGCGGAGCTTCAACAGCAACAGATTCAACAGACGCAGTTTTTGGTCAGGCAACAACATCTGTACGAGCAGCAACTAAGGCAGAAACAACAACAACAGTATTATCTCCAGGAACAGGCTAGAATCAAACAGTTAGAGGAACAGACTAAACTTAAGCGATTAGAGGAACAGAGGATTAAACAGTTGGAGGAGCAGCGTGCTAAGCAACTGGAGGAGCAGAGGCTTCACAGGTTTCAGCCTCAACGGCCATTTCCGCAGAAGCAATTTTTCTTCGAGCAAAGCAACAGTCTGTTGTCCTTCCAGCCACCGGTAGAATCGAACGTTAATCTTCAACCAAGCGTGACTTTAGAAGTGCCCAACGTCGCTGCTCCTCAGCCTTTCCAATCAGCCTTCCAAGATCAATTACGCCCGCAACCGTTCCGTCAGCAACAGCAGCAGCAACAGTTCCAACAGCTGCAGCAGTTGCAGCAGCAACCTCAAACGTTACAGCAATTGCAACAACCACAACAGTTGCAGCCGCTACATCAGCATCAGCAGTTGCAACAGTCGCAACAGTTGCAGCAGTTGCACCAGCCTCAGCAGCTGCAGCAGTTACATCAACATCAGCAGTTGCAGCCGCAACAGCAACATCAGCAAAGATTGCAACAGAGCTTCCCCACTTTCGCCAATGATTTCCAGTCCTCGTTGCCATCGACGACGAGATTCAACAGACAAGAGGCTTTCAACGCCGTCGGCAATTTTGGATTCAACGTGGAGCACAAGACCACTCCCAGTCGGAACAACTTCGGGTTCAACGTGCCCCAGAGGAATTCCGTGAACTACTACAATCCTTACACGCAGTTCAGACAGACCAAACCGGCGACACCTGCTAAACAGATCCAGCATCTTCTCTATCAGTCCGGTATAGCCGGCGATTTGGGTAGCGTGCAGGGAACAGGGAACCACGAGGATCTGAACATCGTTTCTAAAGTTCTGGCCCTGAACGTGGGCCACGTGCCGGATAAGAATCTTCAGTTCAAAACGAACCCGGGCGCCTCGTTCGGGAAGTCGACGGCGTGAACGGAGAAGTGGAACCGGAGTTAGGGACGAGTCATGTAAATCACTGCAGGACGATATTAGTCAGGTGAAATCGAGCTCTCACTTTTTAATTCTACGCTCCTTTATTCATCTTCCTCGTATGAGGTTCGACCTGTCCTTCGTACGAATAACACGTATGGAAATGACTTTACGACATTGATAGAAGACGCTTAAAGTTTCATTAACTCGTATTTATATTTCACGACGAACATCCGTAGGCGTGCAATCTTGAATTCAATTTTTTCTGATCGTTAGTGGTTGATATGCGGTATCGATGCTACGTGACAATTGTACTGGGTGATGCAAATTTATAATTTCAGATATTAATATCTGAAAATTGGAATGATGCAGAATTTTGAATTTTTGTATTAGAGGCTTTACTACGTTAATAATAACACATAAATAATGTTAAATTTGATTAAAACCTTTATTTTATTTCATTTTCAAAGTAAAGTGATGCTATAAATGTATAAACGTCCGCAGTCTATTCGTCATTATGCTACAATATACTACGCCATTGTTGTTAATCTGAAAGACGGGAAAATATTTTAAATTTAAACCTGAACACATTGCTATCGTATTAAAAACATGACGGATTACTCATTAGAACAACTACTAAATTATATATCATTTTAAATATACAAACAAATAAGTAAATATCTAAGAAAATAGTACTACTTGTTAAATGTTTATCATATCTTCACAAGTTCCTTACAAAATGGTCTGTCGTAAAGTCAGTGAAATAACAGAACTACGAAATGGAGATACCGAAGGAATGTCTAATTTCTTCTATTCAGGAATTCGATTACCTGATGGTTTATGGATTCAGATACATAATCACGATCGTGGAAGCTTAAACGACCGTCTGTTACATGTGGGTGGTTTAATGTGATACATTGAACGTGTCATAAGCAGACGCGAACAATCCCAAGTGAAATCGAACTAAAGTCGTCGGCAGAATTTTTCGTTCCATCCGTGCGTGGGATCGGAACGATTCCCGAAGAAAAACAGTTTTCCACGTAGCCTTTGTAACGAGGAAGTCCTTAAGGGGTCATAATGATATTAATTACGATTCAGAACATTTTAAGCCAGGATTCACTGTTTGCACCAGCTGTAGTCTTCGAATTACATAACCGTGGCCGTATTGCGAAAGGTAGACTGTATGATCGCACGATCCTCGTTTCCTCCTATCTTCAATTTCGCTTTCTTTCCCATCTTTTCGTATTACTTGTTGCCCGTAGCACCGATTCCGAACGTGCTCGATCATACGGTACCGATTTATGGTGCATTATCAGAGTCGGTGCAATTTAATCTCACTTTTGCTGGGAATTTCACTGCGCACCGACGAAGAACACGACTAAAATCGAGATAGTGTAACACGTTCACAACAATAAAGATTCTAAAAATCACTAATAAATTAAGCAGGAAAGGAGAGGGTATATAAAATATTAAATGTACTAATAAGTAATCCGCTATACACTGTACAATTTGATATTTTTATATTTTAGAAGATTCAAATACTGTACATTCGTCTTTCATCTAGAGCATATGCCACCATCTTGAAATCGTAAGGAACGCGCAGATGCTCGTTATTTCATATTTTATCGAGACAAAATATAGTAATCGAAATCCATTAAGTGAAACATGGTCATTGAAATTGACTCCGGTTCGTAAATACATATTCAACTCGATCCCCATCCTTAACCGTGGTTGATCAAGACGCTCGACGGTCTAAACGAATTAATGTGTTTTCGTATGAAGAGACAACAGACGCAGAAAAACCGTCGGGACCACCTGGCTCGCGCGGACCCAGCCTCGTCGTCGACTATTAATTATTTATCTAGATGTACGTGTAGGAACGAACTAACTACGGGATGTCGCGGTCGCGAGGAATTCAACTCTCCAGGGATCAAGGGGTCTCGCAAAATCGTGTATCCGGCCGCGCTTCGGGGATTGAAAATGCCTCGTCGACTGTAAATAAACTTTCGCCGTGGAGGATGGCCCCACAATGCCATCGGTGGAAGGCCTCTGCGCCTCCGCGCGTGTGTTGCGCTCGCATGTCCTCAATTTCACGAACGTTCGGCATAGATTCGTGATTTCTCTCGCAGCAGCAGCAGTCGAATTCCGTCGGAGGGTAGTCGTAAATCGATATCAATAAGAAGCCGTCCTAAGATCCGATTGATATGTAAATTAATTTATTCGTTTCCGGGTTACGAGACGGTGCCCTGGATACACGGGGTACACATTGTTCTGCGATTCTTATTCGACGGAATGGAGGTCTACCGAACTCGAATTAGAAAAGGTATATTTTTCAGAATCTGTTAGAAAATATTGCACAGCTTTAGTCACCTTATGTATAATGAATTTTTTCATATACAATCACACAAATAGAATTGTTTGTAAAACGACGACAGGACACCATACTTGACATGGAATATATTTTGATTATTGAAATGACTTTTTATTGAGCTTACAGCTTAATAAACTACTGACTAGAAACGTGTTAAATTTTTTGGGACGGAGAACATATTTTATACAAAACTTAGTTTCTATGATGTTCAAGAGGACCCAGGTTGTGTTCCTGGGATTAATATGGTTGTTCCGATTTCTTGGAAGCCGTAAATGTTTTACATTGTTCTTTAATTAAATAAGGGTTCCTTTTTCGTCAATCTGAAATTCAATTGTACTCTCAAGATTTATCTTAGGAAGTCCTCCTTGTCTTTTTTCTAATTGAAGAAGAAATAAACATGAGGCGTGCGTGGGATGCATTTTAGGCGCGATGAGCTGGGAAAGTTCTATACAATAGCCACAAACGCAAGGAATTCGTACATGCCGTACGTGTCTATATGTTTGTCAAGACGTGAAGTTTCGTTACAGATTAATATAACCTTAGGGTATGTAGGTAATACGATAGACGTAATCGACAAGTTTTCGCTTGTAATTTATCCGAAGCCAAACTGTACCACATATTGTAAAAATATTAATAAACTGTTTTGAAAAATACTGACCTTGTCGTTTTTTCTTTTGGGCTTCCGTGATATGTAAGGGTGCTATTGCAATTTATTAAATTATTTAATTGTAGGTTTCGCTAGCAAGGAAGAATGTTCTGCTTTTCTCGCCCGGCCTAAACGGCAGTTTGACACATATGTACACAATGTAGGCCCGGTATAAATGTATATATGCTATTATATTATTCTAACTATTACGAATACGAAAAAATGTTTTATATAAAAGTTGTTGTATTTAATGGACCAAACTTAATAGAATGTTTGCATTTTTTTTATTGTCATTTACAGAGCTACTGCTCCCTTTTTACAACGTCTTACAAATAACTTCAAAGTAACTAAAATTTAGACGCTTTAATGTTGATTTCCCTCCGCAGATAGCTTCTTTCTTGAGTCTACCTGAAAATAAAATGAAGATCCCACGGCGGATGATCGATGTCTTCTTTCTTGAGCTTACACTAGTCATACAATCGACTTAACTTAACTTACAACTAACCCATTTAGCTGAATACCGAGCAATTATTACAGACAAAAGGAGTGCATATTCTCTGAAGGAGAATATGTTTCAGAGCGTCGATGCTCTCGGAAGGAGAGCACCGATTCTCTCTGATGCTAAGTGGCGAGCAACGCCAGTTAAAGTAATAACTACTCGGTATGCATTACAATTATTTTACAATGGGTTTGCAGCCATTGGCTCGGTATTATCCTCGATTTACAAAACTATCGAGGATAACACCGATTACCAGGTCTCACCACGTGGAGGTTGCTGCAAGTGGAGACCCAAGGAAGATAGATGGAAACACATGTTCCATCTATCCACCCTTCACAATAATCTTACAACTAACTTAGACATCTAAATACGTTTATACTATAAATATCTAAATCCCTCGGCGGATGGCTTCTTTCTTGAGTCTACCTGAAAATAAAATGAAGATCCCACGGCGGATGATCGATGTCTTCTTTCTTGAACTTATATTAGACTTACTATCGACTTAACTTAACTTACAATTAACGCATTTAGCTGTATACCGAGAAATTATTACATAGAAAAAGAGGGCATATTCTCTGAAGGAGAATATGTTTCAAAGAGTCGATGCTCTCAGAAGGAGAGCACCGATTCTCTCTGAGGCAAAGTGTGACTCGAATCGACGCGTACCGTGAGTAAAGCCCCTAGTGGTCGGCCCCGTCACCAGCTACCCCCTGTCAGAGGGGTCGTATCTCGCGCTCCTCCGTACGGGTCCCCATTTCTCCCAACGTACTGCCTCCAGGCGACTGCCGGGCCAGTCGAGGAGACTCCGTACGGATGACAAAGAGAGGGACCCGGTACGGAGGCATGCCGCGAGACGGCCGTGCAAGCACAGACACCGCCTCGCGGTGCGAGACATGGACCCATGATTAGGATAGCTAGTTAGGGAATCCGATTTTCGGGGCCTACAACACGGCCGATCACCTGCACATTGCAGAGTGACCGGAAATAGCGGACTACGCGAGAAAAATAATAAGTACTCGGTATACATTACAATTATTTTACAATGGGTTTGCAGCCATTGGCTCGGTATTATCCTCGATTTACAAAACTATCGAGGATAACACCGATTACCAGGTCTCACCACGTGGAGGTTGCTGCAAGTGGAGACCCAAGGAAGATAGATGGAAACACATGTTCCATCTATCCACCCTTCACAATAATCTTACAACTAACTTAGACATCTAAATACGTTTATACTATAAATATCTAAATCCCTCGGCGGATGGCTTCTTTCTTGAGTCTACCTGAAAATAA